TTAAACCTAATTAACATAATAACAAATGTAATTGTATAAATGCCCAATTAGTCAATAAGTTTAGGTGCAATGGGGCCAAATATCGAGAAAAAGTCAATTTTTTGGACAAAATTAGAATTAAGTATTTACTATTTTACCAAAAAAGAAGCAAAAATCATTAAAATATGCCCATTTTTTGAATATCTACAAGTAGTAATTCTATGGATAAATGTCAAAGTTATGACACCCCTTAATAAATTGGTCAGTTCATTTTTTAGATATTATCTAAAAAATGAACTGACCAATTAAAAAAAAAATAAAATGCCGTTTAATAGGGATTTTCAAGACCTTTAAAATAATGTAGTACTCTGTACCCCTTCTCTATTTAAATTCTTAAGGGGGTAACTCCGGGGCGCAGAAGGTAAAGGTGGGAAACCAAATTTTGCCTTAAAAAGTTTTCCCCCTCGATATAAAACTTTATCTGTCTCTGCGTTTTTTAAAATACTTCTAGTTTCCGAGAATTTAGGGGGGTTAGTTTTAAAAGGAACACACTGTATTTAAATATTAAAATATAAAATAAAATTTATTTAACAGTAAAAAGGTTCTATTAGGCAAATAGAACCTTTTTTTTGTAAAAAACTTAATTTCTGAAAAAAATTTACCTGTCCACTTTTTGCATTAACCCCTTTAATTATAATAATTATCAATAGATTTGTTTTAAAAATATCTTGTTTTCTTTATAACAGTTTAAACTCCACGTAGATAATTTAAAAATTGACATATTTTGTTGATTTGTATTCATCCTTGGCAAAGAAAATAATGTTACATTCTCATTTTTCTCCAAAAAAACGACTTTTTCCAATATTTGAGCCCATTGAACTTAAGCTTATTAACTGATTGGGCACTAATAAGGTGATATTTGTTGGCGACTCAAATATGTTTAATTTTAAACTTTTTTCAACCAGATTGGCCATTTCTAACCCGAGATATGACCCAAATTGTAAAGCTGCTTTCTTAAAGAACCAAAATATTAAAGAAAAAATTTTATCTCAAAAACCTTGCCATAAATTTTTATTTTTTTTTATTTTTAAGTTTAACAGGTCACAATACATTAGAAAAAAATAGTGGCAGCGAAGGTACATTTTTTTAATTTTAATTTGTAAACCAGTGTTATTAATATTAATTAATATTGGTATTGATTAATTGATATTTATATTAAATTAATTTATATTAAATTAAATTTGAAAAAAAAAGAATGCAAAGATATAAATTAAAGAAAACGATATAAACACTAATTTAACAATAAAATAAATAAAGAATGTACAAGGTTGGTAGCCGGTACTCGGCAGGAGGAATATCCACCAAGGGAGAGGGCACTTACGGTGTGTCATGGCCGTCAACACTTTGCTACGGAAGACCAGACTCAGTATCACACAGGGGGGCAAACAATTCTAAATACCAGGAACCTGATAGTGACTCGGACAGAGATGTTCAGAAATACACCAACAAGGACAGGTTCTAGCAGCGTACTAACACTTCTACACCCATTCATGAATCCCAATTGAATGGGGTTATTACTAAGGCCCAGGTTGAGGAGGATTCCGGATTGTAATTAGTTTTGGGTCAGTTCAAGGTCCTCCAAAAACCCTTCCTAAATTGGACGTATGGCCCGACCCGGCTGACAAAAATCCGTGGAGCGGCCTTAACCATAGACACTGTCATCCACGACCTCCTAGGGTGGATCTACCAGCCGGCGTAAAAACTTCGGATCCAACAAACACAGGTAATGCTGTGATTTGGCGGGATACGCAGGAGAACGGAAAGGGGGTAAAATAACCCTGGGAGATTAGTGGAGGATAATGTCTTTGGGGCCTGCCATACATTCCCATACTCATACTCAACTGTTCCCCAAAATTTCTTACGCGAAAATCAAAGAAGGAATTTTTGTCGGATCAAATATAAGAAAATTGATTAATGATGACAACTTCACCTCCTACTGAAGCAGTAGCATAGGCCTCATTTAAGAGCGTCGTTCGTAATTTCCTTGGAAACAGAAAAAGTAAAGACTACAAGGCAATTGTCGCGGATCTTTTGGACAATTATTTTAAAATGGGTGTTCGCATGTAACTTTTTCTGGATTCCCATCTGGATTTTTCCCGATGAACCTAGGCGATGTTAGTGACGAGCAAGAAGAGCGCTTACAGAAAATTGAAAAAAACTACCAAGGTTTATGGGACGAGGGGATGTTGGTCACTTATACATGAAACACACCCATAAAAAACGCAGTTCCAATGCACTTCAATTTAAAATTTTTTCCACAGCAACAGCCCTTGCAACAGTAATAAGTGATGTGATGGAGGCTTACGATAAGGGTGAAGTTACAGCGCTAATTTTGTTAGATTTTTCCAAAGCGTTCGACACCATTGACCACAGACTTATGCTGGCCAAATTTAAATATTATGGGTTTGACGAACTTGCCTTAAAACTATCAAGGACTTACTTGAACGACAGATCTCAACGTATCACTTGCAATGGAAAAACGTCCTCTAAAATGAACATACTGTCTGGCGTTCCTCAGGGTAGCGTTCTGGGGCCTCTCTTCTTCTTGCTTTACACAACAAGTATTTTAAAGGCGATAGAACACTGCAAGGCCCAGGCCTACGCCGATGATAGCCAGCTCTATGGTCATTTTGATATAAAAAACGCAAACAATGCCGAACTACTAATTAATGATGATCTAAATAAAATTAACAAGCTTTCACTAGAACATAACCTTAAATTAAACGCCAGTAAGTCATATGTCCTCTTGTTTGGTACAAAAGATAAAGTATCTACTTTAAAACAGCAGCTTACTTTGCAAATTGATAACACTCCTCTAAAAGTCGTCGACTCCGCTAGAAATCTTGGAATCATACTAGATACTGAGCTAAGATTTCGTGAGCATGTTAAAAAATTAATACAAAAATCGTTTCTAAGCCTTAAACTTCTTTACTCAAACAAACATTTTCTTAATAAAACATTGAAACGCAATTTATGTGAAAGTTTAGTCTTATCAAATTTTAACTACTGTGATTTTGTTTACGGCACATGCTTAGATGTTGCGTGCAAAACTCGAATACAAAAAATTCAAAATAACTGCTGTAGACTTATTTTTAACCTTAGAAAATACGATCATGTCTCTGAAAAAATAAAGGAATTATCTTGGTTAAAAATGGACAAGCGTATGAAACTTCATTTGATGAATTTTACCCATCAGCTTTTGCAAAGTCCCCACTCTACCCCTCTAAAATCTAAATTTATAACTCGTCAAAATACCCGTTCATGTATTAATTTAAGGAGTGATAACCTATTGTCAATCCCTAAATATCGAACTGCGCTTTTTAAAAGAAGCTATGTTTATAATGCAATAGCATCATATAACTCGCTGCCCAGTACATTTAAAAATCTAACAATGAAAAAATTTAAGAAAGAACTGAAAGAATACCTATTTGCAACATAATTGTGAACTGATTTTTGAAATATTGTGTGCTCCTTGTACGTTTTTTTTTGTTTCCTTATCTATATAATAACTATCTATATATATGTATATGTACTTACATAATTGTTGACAATTTATGTTCGACCTGCCGTCATGTACTTTTTTTCTTTTGGCTTCTAGTGGTTGAGTAGAATAGCTTAAAGCTAGACTTCGCCATACTGAAGCATATTCGTTTGGTTTATGTAATTTTTGGTTAAGGAATTAATAAAGTCGTTTTTATTTTTTTATTTAAAATGTAGTCAATTTTCTAATAAAATAACAAAAAATACCATTATCGTATATTTAAAAAACTTGACCTGACCCAGAAAAACGGATAGCAGATTCGTGATCAGCGCATGTTATCATCCTGAAATCACCTTTACGTTGCTTGTGTAAAAAACTTTGTATACCGACACATTTTTCAAGATTTTAACAAGCTGTCATATCAACGGGGATAATAGCAGCGACTTCAAACATTGTTATAATCAGGGCAAAAATAACTTCGATTCCCCTTTCCATTAAAAAAATTGAAGGTTACTATGACCCACTCTGAGAGGTTGAAGTTAAGGGGTTTAAAATATAAAAATAAATTGTTCCCCTAAAATCAAAAATCGACGTTTTTTATGTAACACCTGAGAAAACCAGAGTGGAAACTTTTTATTAGCCCACCCTGTCATTTTATAACGTTATTTCGGGATTTTGTAATGTTAGTCGTTGTGGCGTGAGCGTACCTTACGGATTTTGTTATAAAATCTCGAGCGCCAGCTTCGTTATTTAAAGTGGAGAAGCACCACGTACCTGGGTTTGGTTTTAGACATTGGAGAAAGGATATTTCAGGGGTCAGTTAGCCCATATTACAATTAAAAAGGCAAAGGTTTAATTTAATACACATATTGAAATAATAATAAAACTCTATATATATATTATATTTATATACAAAACAAATAATAATTTAGACAATAAGGAAATGTGTAACCCTCAGTATATGAAATAGAATCTAAATTAACAAACTGAAGTAATATGAAAATAATATAATATTAAAATTAAATTAAATAAATAAAATAATATTGACACCAACAGTAAATTAATAAAAAACGGTAACAATGAATATAAAAACTGAAGGTCACACTTCTAGCAAATATTAATATGAAAATACAATTAAATAAACCAATGCTGTAAATGAAATGAAAAATTACGGGAAACAAATACTACGGCCTTAAGCGGATGTTTTAGCAAATCGTCAAACACGGGACGGGCTAGCGGTGGTCAGCATATTCGCCTGCTTGGTATTGTCTAAGGCAGAGCAGATACCGAGCGTTACGGAGCGCGGGTGGCTTACACACACTGTAAATATTTGTAATAATAATGATCAATTAGCATTATGATTACCTACGATAGTTCGGGTTTACGGGGTCGGGCTGACGGGATCAAAAGAGCGGTCTGAACCCTGAAGGGAAGAGTAGGGTTTTATTCTTTGGTATTTACAAATATTGTTTAATTTTAGGATTTAGCAAGCAAGTAAAGCAAAAAGTATCAACTAACTATCTTCAAGTTCAAAGTTTAGAGGAAGAAGTAACATATACTTTTACTGTAAGAGCACAGACTATTGATTTCGGTCCTTCTATCTCAAATAATATTACAACGGGTCCACAAGATGGGTCTCCTGGAACACCAAGGGAATTATCTATAATAAAAACTTTGTCAAATGTCGAAATGCGTTGGTCAAATGGCCCTACTGGAAAAGGACCCATTGAAGGATTTTATGTGGAATCTAAACAAAAGGGTATATACATATAATCTTTTCAAAGAATATTTCCTATAACTATTAATTGCATTTTTGTTTGTAGATGATAGTCGTTGGCAAACCGTAACTAAAACAACAAATGGGCCCCTTCAAGAATTCTCAGTTTCATATCAAAGTTTATTACCTTCAACTTCATATAACTTTAGAGTAATTTCCTATAATAAATTTGGCATTAGTTATCCAGCTTATTCGGATAATTCAATTTTGACACCCTCTAAATTATATTTAGAGTATGGTTATTTGCAGCACAAACCCTTCTATAGACAAACATGGTTTATGGTTGCTTTAGCGGCAACATCAATAATTATTATAATAATGATTATTGCTATTCTTTGTGTAAAGAGTAAAAGCTATAAGTACAAACGTAAGTATTAAAAAAAAATTAAATAAATTTAAAAACTAATAATTTTTTAGAAGAAGCACAGAAAACACTTGAGGAATCAATGGCAATGTCTATAGGGGATCAGCAAGAATTGGCAATGGATTACTATCGTTCTAAAAATGGTAATGGCAATATAAATACTTTGGGTACCATATCAAAACGGAGTACTCTCTCAAGAAAACCTCAACATGTCCAAGCTCCACCAGTGGGAAAATCACCTCCAAGGTATTAATACATTTCATTAATAAAACTTTTGTTATAAAAAAGTTTTTTAGACCATCTCCAGCTAGTGTACCTTACAATTCCGATGAAGAAAGCCTTAAAGGTTACGATGAAAACCCAGATGACAGCAGTGTTACAGAAAAACCATCTGAAATGAGTTCATCAGATCAGGTAACTATCACTATTTAAAGCATGTAAAGGCAATTAAACCGCTCTACAAATCAAAAATAAAATATAAATATTAAACTTATCTTTTTTGTTGAAAGGGCTCTGAGAGCGAGAATGAGAGCGTGCGCTCAGATCCACACTCGTTTGTCAACCACTATGTAAATGTGAATGACACATTACGTCAATCCTGGAAGAGGCAGAAACCTGTAAGGAATTACTCTAGTTATACGGACTCTGAACCTGAAGGTAGTGCTGTTGTAAGCCTTAATGGTGGTCAAATTATTATGAATAACATGGCGAGATCAAGAGCGCCTCTACCAGGTTTCTCTTCTTTTGTCTAATATTAATACGGCATTTGGCCAGGTTACATTTCTTACCATAAAGACCGATGAATTAGGTAAAAAATCGTTTAAGACTACAGTAATTATAGTTTTTTCAAAGTCAAATTTAACCTTTATTATTATTATGTAAAAGCTATTAAATAAATGATATTCTTTACATATAAAATAACCCACCCAACCGACATACATACATAAAAAATTTAGTTTAACAATAATGAAAATTTCTATAGCAGCAAGTTTATTATACACCAAAAAGCAAATATTTTATTCAATCTAATGAAAACAATGCTCGGAAGCTTGTTAACGACTCGTTATGACGATAGACACTTAACAATAATCCAGTGTCGTCATCAAAATCGTCTGACCTGTCGTCAATTTATTTTAATTATTGAACTAAAATTTATAATGCAGCAACTTTGTTAAACATAATTATATATCACAATGCAAATATTTTATTTAATTTTAAGAAACAATGCTTAAAAACATTTTTTTTTATTGTGGCGACTTGTCATGACGATATAGTTAACTCAAAAAGTGTCGGATGACGAGTCTCGTTTTTTTCGTTATTCGTATCGTCATTTTTTTTTAGGTTAACTAAAGGATTTTAAGATTAATATTTAGATTTTCAATTTTTACAGTGTGTTTACCAAACAAAGAATGTGGGTAAGGGGTACGACTTTGTCTTTGGGTTGTGTGGTTTCACCCAGGAGAGACAAAGTCGGGGTCCCGTCGTTGAAATACGATCGTATTTATTAATATTATTCGTTGCTTTAATCTTTTAGAGGGATTATTTAAACAGTTTAGAGGATGTTTCAAGATTGCCCATGTGGAAATTTTTCTGTGAGAAAGTTTTAATAAGAGTTTTGAAAGTCTTACTTTCTCTTAAAAAGTCTGAATAAGACTTAGTAAGTCAGACTAATAGCAATATTTGGGAGTCTTTTGGAAGAGTTAATAAGACTTTTTAAGACTTAATAAGACTTTTAGCAGAGAAATGGTAGGTACCTATATCCGGAATTATTCAGAGGTTATTGCAAAAGAAAGCACAATGAAAAGTATTTATAAACACTCTTTTTGTGTTGTTATAAGGCTTATAAAAACACGGAAGCAATGTTTACAATATAAGTAAACAAACTTTATTTTAATTAAACAGAATAAAACAGTTGGGAGATACGTTTGGTTTGTGTACATACAGATCCCTTGTTGATTACGTACATAAGGTATAATAACTATAACAATTCTTCGCAACGCATAGGCGTGATATGGTGACAGTCGAACTCATACACAGATTATAAAACAAATATGGTTGATCTTTCATTGCTTCATGTGTTTTATAGTGTTGCCGGATGAATGTCATAAAAGTTCCCAACCAAGAATTACATAATACTAAAAAAACTAGTTATATTTTAAATTTACTAGCGCATTCGCCCTGTTTTAAAAAAATTAATTAAATGAATTTAAAAAAAAATTATAATATAAATTTTTGTAATAATAAAAATGTGAGAGGATGTTCTATATTGAATAAAATAATTATGCATTTTTAGTAAACATACAATATTATTTACTGAAAATTTCTTCAGTTGGTATTTTGATCGAAATTTGCAGAATATCCTATTTTACCCGCTTCAAAATTCTACCCGCAAAACATGACGAAAATACCCGATTTCCGAGTAAAATACGTAAGTAGTGACAGGAGTCTCCTGTCAGGAGAGCTATCTTGAAAACGCGGGAAGATGCCATCATATGACAGATCAGCTGTGCTCTAATTGGTCAGCTGAGAAAATCGATAAAGTGTTTGGAACAATATGGCGGCAAGTATTTGGTGATTTTCAGTCTGTGCGAACTGTTAAAGAACAGACCTTGTTGTGTAGGTTGTGGGTTAGATGAATATTTGCTTATAAAAAGAAACTATTAAAATTAAACGTACAGTGGCAACAATAAAAGCAAGTCAAGCGCATCGTATGTTATAATTAGTTTACCTCACATATGTTAATATATAGGTAATTAAGCAATAAACATGGCTTATTACCACCCCGGCAAAATGTTAATAAATACTTTTCTTTGTGTTTTATTTTATAATAATTAAATACATCCTCTCTGAAGAATTCCGGATATTTATTTTAATCGCTATAGTTAGGTTCCTACCATTTCTTTGCTAAAAGTCTTATAAAGTCTTATCAACTCTTCTAGAATACTTCCAAATCTTGCTATTAGTCCGACTTACAAAGACTTATTCAGACTTTTTCCGACTTAATAAGTCTTATTCTGACTTTTTCAGACTTAAGTATTATTCAGACTTTTTAAGAGAAAGTAAGACTCTAAAAACTCTTATTAAAACTTCTTCAGAGAAAAATTTCCACAAGGGTGGACATACTCGTTTTGTCTAATAGTGGATGGATCTCTCTGAAGTCGCTGGACGTTAATACTGTCAGTAAGTCAGTAGACAAATTCTCTCACAAAGAAAATAAAAAGTTAGAAAAGAAAAATGCGGGTAAAATAATTTAATTCATTAAGCCAGTTCGGTTGCCCGGTAGGCAGGGCGTGAGTGAGACAGGTGGAAGACCAAAATCCAGCAACGTTTTGCCATTTTAATAGTCGTGATATCAAATCCATTCTGAGCAGAACATTAAAAGTGAACTCCAGAGTGCCAGCTGGCATAACATTTCAGAAAGTGACTTTCAAAAGTATTCTTTGTTTATAACACATCATTTCCTCTTGTTATAAATGGTGTCAGAAAGCTCTAAATAACAATAATGAAGTCAATCAATGTTATGTCAGTTTTCGCGAAAATATCAAAACAAATTCCTCCGGGCGTCATCTCTTACTATTTTTACTTTCTATTTAAATAATACCGTGCGAGTAGTTAGCACATTAATTAGGGTGCTATTTCCCATATTCTGTTAGTAAGTAACATTTGCTTAAGTATGATGATACCAACAGAGGCAAAATGTTGTCAATTATAAGCTAATATATTGATATATCAAGCGATGGTCTAAAACGACAAGGGGCAAAGTAAGCGTAATTTCGATTTTTATGTAAATACACTGTTTATTGCATAGGTATGGGTATATTTTTCAGTTTTATTAAGAGATAAGTGCGTTTTTTATTTGGTACAGTCGTATGCAAATAAAAAACGTACAGCCTTAGAATGAGAGGTACTGCAGTTGTTAAATATTGCGAGTTAGGTTATAAAAAATACAATGCCGTAGATGTAAACCAGACGTCAGCTAACTGTCGGCTGGTTTACATTTACGGCACTGTATTTTTTATAACACAACGCGCCATATTTGACAACTGCAGTACCTCTCATTCTAAGAGTGTACGCTTTTTATTTGCATACGACTGTACCTACTTTTTTAATTTAATTTATTGTAGTGGGGTAAATATATTTCTTTACAAAACTTGGGTCATTCCATATTAATATTATTTATAGAAATATTAATTTAAAAAAATATCGAGCAACATGCCTAAATGAGTTGAATATGTCTTTATGAAACTTTTTCATATATTTTTTAAATATTTTATGTAACCTTTATTAAACATAAATATATAGTTCTCAGCAAAACTAAGGAGTTGGGTGGGTATGTACTTAATTACATAATAAAATAAAATGATTTCCGTAATAATATTATATTTAAAATGTTTGAATTAAATATAAATTTCAACATAAAAATGTTTGAATCTGGCAGCTATTGTGATCTAAATAAATAGCCTTATAAAGTAATAAATACGAATTATTATTATTATTGAGATTTGTAAATATTTAATTTTTAATACTGTGTTAATGTATCTAGGACCTGTAGGACGTTTTCTAGCAACTGAATTTTTTTTATTTGCTTGTATATTTTTTTTATTAGTTTTATTTTTGTATTATAATTATTGTACCAAATATGTAATTGTAATTTATTATTAGCCAATAATTTATTGTTTAAATTAATTTAAAAAAAAACTATACCTTAAAAGCAGAGTGGCAAAACACATTTTTTAAAGAGGTATGGGGTATACAAATTTTCGCCCACCGGAATTTTACCAGTTTACTTTTAAGGTGTGGATTTAAATTAATTATTTATATTTATAATATATAATTTTTCTTATAAATGAAAACAACCACCTATATATTTATAACTTTAGGGTCGATTAAAATATTATATTTTGAAAAGGTATTTTACACTGGTATATGGTACTTTTTTAAATGCAGTTGATGTTTCTTTACATTTTTTGATGATTGTATTATAAAAATATTTTTTTAAATCAATGCAGACTATATTTAACCAGTCTCCCCAACTATATTTTAGAGTGATGTTTCATTTATAAGAACATCTTGCATATTTAGGTAGGTAACTAATGAATTAAAGAATATTTTATTGAAACCTTGCTAAAATATTAAATTTTCAAACTCAAAAACTTCTATATAGAGTGGTGTAGTAAGACAGAACTTCTTTTCGGATTTAAAATAAAATTAACATTTACAAATTATCCAATTTCCCTAAAGTGTTTCAGAATAGAAAATAGTTTATTTTTAATAAATTTTTTACTTAAATATTAGTGCCCTGAAATGATGTTTTATGTTTTTAATTAATTATAAAAAAGGTATATCTTATAACCGTTAAAATTATTTTGCTTTTAAACATTTTTTAATTGATATCAGTTATCAAGTTTTCGTAAACATATATCATGTTTTATCGATTTTAGATCAAATAGGTTTTTAAAAATAGTGTATTAATAACTATTTTCTATTAAAGTACAAGTTTATAAAATTTTATAATTTTGGAAATTTGTACTTCAATAGAAAATAGTTGTTTATAATTTAATGTAGTTAAATGTTCAATAATATTATCAATATTATACTAATATACACTTAGAACATTATAAAAACTGCAATATTTTCAAAATAAAAAAAGCAAAGAGCTTGTTTTAAATGGGATATGATTCATTAAAATAAATATAATTAAATCGCTTATTTTAAAAAGGACTTAAGTAACATAATGTTACTAACATTTTTTGCAAATTTCTATAAACCCTTTTTATAAAAAGAAGTTTGCGTTTTATTTTAAATTAGTAATTTTTACAGTAAATGTACTACTTAAAACCTTTAAAAAATATGCTAATAATTTAAATAAGGAATAAATATTATATTGCAAAATTGTCTCTAAAATTAAAAATTTTAATCAACTTGTATAATGCCGGTTTTACACCAAACCGACTAGTTGAGTTGCTGTTTTGTTGCTGTTTTAAAAAACAAAAACTCAACTGTTTTTAAAGATAAAACTGTTCACACTAAACAGACAAAAATTAGTTGCTGTCGAGTTTTTGTTTTTTGTCGTTTTACATCAGAGAAACAGTTGCAGTTTTGTTTAGTTCTATTCAGAAAGTAGATGGTTGTTCATTATTTTATATTATTTATTTAAAAAAATTAACATGGATAGTGACGAGGAACGCTTTTTTTTCTCGTGTGCGGTTGGCTGTTGGTACGTGATTTAGAAAAAAAAGAAAACACTGCACTTCCTTATTATTATTCCTAATAATTAACACTATATACTTATTCTTTTTTGATAAATAACCTTGCCGCGACTGTCAACATGACAAAAACACAGCTCGCCGCAACTCAAGTTGATAACAGACGTTTACACCAAGCCGACTGAGTTGCAAAAAACGCAGCAACTCTTTGAAGTTACCGACATCGATCGGGAAACGAAAAACACAACAGCAACTGTTGAGTTGCCGAAAAATCTTCAAAAAATCTGCAAAAAGTTGCGGTTTTGTTTTTTTCAACTCGAATTGCTGTTTTGTCGGTTTGGTGTAAAACCGGCATAAGACTAACCAATCCTAAGGCTACAAATGTACTGATAGTTTTACACTGCCTTCTTGTTTAAATATAATTTAGTATGTAAGAACTATTTGTAAAATAAATCTGTGATTCTATTAAATCCTTTTATTAAAAAGTTTTTATTTTGTTTCATACATTTAATATTTCATATGATGCAGTTATTTGGGAGCAATGGCGGCTCGCCAAAGGAGGCAAGGCTTCCCCAAAATGCTAAATCATTTTACCCCAATTATTTTAATTAAATGATTTTTTTAATTTAAGTTAATACTTATTTATAAAATTATAACTCAATTTACAATACTATCATAAAGTAAAATACTGAACCTTGCTTTGCAATCGGACTTTATAAACTAAACTACGTCACAGAAGAGGCTTAATAGCCTTACGATCGCGGCGGAATGGCCACGAGGCGTGTATGTGCCAAAAACAAAATGTTCATATGGCCGAAAGGTCGGCACCAATCGGTTTATCACGCCGACGATGAGTCAGACAAAGGGGGCAAACATACAAGGATTTTAAATGTATGTGAAGTAAAAATTCTCTAGCTGCTTGCCCAATTGAAGTTGAATATTGACATTTCAGTTTGACTGTCTGTGGTGGGGTGCGCTTGAGCTTGAAAATTTGTGGTTTGTGACTTTTTTACACAAACATTTCTAAAATAATTTCCGATGTAATATTGTATTATGGAATATTATGATTAAAGTCGCTCAGGGTTTTTCTGGTCCTCTTTCCTGAATTGCACTTAAAAATCAATACTTTTATTCATTTCACCTGACCATTAAAAATTAAAATTAAATTTAGAAAATAACTTCCCTGGTAGAAATTGACGTTTACCTACATTCAGACAACGTTCCCGATAAAAAAAGATTTTATCTAATTGTACCTATATCATTATATAAAATTTATATAAAGTTATATATAATTCATATATAATTATATAAAATGTATATATAATTGTATATAATTATATGAGACTCTATTAAAGTGTCTATATAATTATATATAGGTCTCTTTTAAGGTACATATATAACATTGTATACAGGGTGAGTCAGAAGTAGGTGCATTAATTTAAGGAGGTGATTCTACAGATTATTTTGAGTCGTTTGACCCATATTGCCTTATACAAAAGTTATTAGTTTGGGAGTTATTTGATTTTTTGTGATTTTGGTAAAAAATCGTGTCCAGGTTTAAATTTTTTAAAATTTCTCGATAAGAATTAAAGTTAATTAAACGATTCTTTTTTTAGTAGTTAGCCCATACATTGGTACATGCCACATAGTAATAGTTTTTCCAAAAAAGCCATATGGAACTTCAGAACAACAGTATAAAATAAAATTTTATTCGCGAATTTGGAAGACTTGTTAAGTTCATCAGGATTTTTTTTTAATTTCACTATACACTTTGCGTGCAAATTATTTAAAAAACTTTCTTAATGTATTAATAGGTAATTACCTTTCGAATGATGTATAATATGTCCATAAAAACTATTATTTTTGGATAGAAAATGTTACCTTTGTAAGGCACATTTTAGTTCACCCCAGGATTAACAGTTATTTTAAGTATCAGGAATTGTGTATTTAAATTATTGCGAAATAAAGGTTTAATTCATATTAATTCAACATGCCAAACTTTTCAAATGCTGAATACGCTGATATTATGTTTGTATATGGATTTTGTAATATAAACGCAGCCGAAGCTCGACGAGAATATCAAGTAAGGTTCCCACAAAAACGGGTTCCTAATGAAAGAGTATTCAGTACGACATATCGTCGTATAGCTGAAACCGGCACTGTTATACCAAGACCACGCATTGGAGCTCCTGAAGTTAATGTAAATGTTGATGAAGACATTCTAGAAAGATTTGAAGAAGATCCAACTACCAGCACAAGAAAAGTAGCTTCTGATTTGGGTTTAACACAAAGCAAGGTTGCTCGTGTAATGAAACGTTGAGGCCAGCATGCATTTCATTATACATCTGTCCAGGGTCTAGAGGAAGGTGATCCCCAAACAATAGAATTAAGAAACAACTTAGATAATCGACTTACTCGCGGTGAAATCAGAAAAAGGGCACAAGCTTGCATTAGAAATGATGGCGGACACTTTGAGAATTTTCTGTAGACCGTTATTTAGTAATATTTTAATAAATAAATGCATTGGCGGCTCGTCAGGGTAGGCCTCTGAGGCCGCGCCTCACCCTTAAAATGAAGGAACGAACGACTTTTTGTATTTATATTTTTGCCTATTACAAGTGTATTTTTACAACAGTTCTACCCAATAAAAAGTAAAAAACCAATCAATCATACTAAGCGTAAATAAAAATCCAGGCGCAAAGCGCGTCAAGTTAACGTGCATCGTTGGACAGAGGCGAAATTTTCACAGCCTCGGAAGCTCCCATTTACCTCTTGAAAGTGAAAATGACTCACCAACAAAAATATCGCCGTAAGTTCGCGAATAAACACCGTAGATGAGGCGATATTTAGTTAGCTTGGTTTGTTCTGATTGGTGGTCCGTTTATGGTGGGATGCCAGCGGAGACAAAGAAGGTTGCCAGTCTTCTCTTAGCGTTTGTAGAGCACGTTATTGTTTTGATTCAGATTAAATTATTTAAAACTTTTGGCTGATCTTTTATAGTTTTTGTCTCGATTAGTAAAATTTCTTATTTAATTATTGTAGGCAGGGCCGGATTTAGGCATGGGCCACATGGGCCCGGGCCCAGGGCGGCAAATTTTTAGGGGCGGCAAATTTTGAAGGCCAGTTAAAATTTTGCTAAAAAATCAAGAGAGAATTTTTGTTTTCACTCAGATTTATACACTAAAAAAAAACTATAAAAAGTTGGAAGAGAAGTTTTTTAATACATTAGATAATTTTATATCAGACTAAACTATTATTCTGCGTAGTGCGTCACTGCGTAGAAGGGCGGCAGTCGATGTACACGAGGTGAGTGGGGCGCGACTCTAGCTTATTCGCTGAGTCATTCGTTATTCGGGGTAATGATGCGTTGGGCCCATGGGCGGCAAATTCGTAAATCCGGCCCTGATTGTAGGAAACACACTAAGGTAGATTTAGCAGTTTTTATTAAGCAAATTTTATATTTTGAAATAATAGATTGCATAATTCTTCAATTAGAGACGCGGTTTGAAAATTTAGAATTACTTTTAAATCTCACTGCAGACCCACAATTTTACGACCAAATAATAGATAAATTTTCAATCTTAAAAGATAGACGTATAGTATTTTATATTTTTTAATACTTAGGTAGGGGTCGACTTTTTAGTTTTATTTTTATTTTTTGATTAATTTATTTATTTTTAACTTTTTTAAGACTATATTTTAAGTTTAAGATTAAAACTAGTCTTTGATGTGATATTTTGTTTGTTTTGTTTTTTAGAGTTTATTTTTTGGTTTAGTAGTGCTATCGGCTCCATTTTAAAAAAGGTCAACGCGTCGCAGAATAATACCTCCCGGGTGACGTGGAAATTTATTCGTATTTAGATAAAATTAACCTTATGTAGCCTCACCCTCCTGTACACCCACGAGCCGCCACTGAATAAATGTTAACTTAATTAAGTTAACACTCTAGTATTTTACTTACTATTAAGCGTGAATCGTTAGCGTAAACTAAAACCGGTGTGTGTTTTACAAAGGTGACATTTTCTACCTAAAAATAATAGTTTTTATTGGCATATTATACATCATTCGAAAGGTAATACATTAAGAAAGTTTTTTAAACAATTTGTATAGTGAAATTAAAAAAAAAATCCTGATAAACTTAACAAGTCTTCCAAATTCCCGAATAAAATTTTATTTTATACTGTTGTTCTGAAGTTCCATATGGCTTTTTTGGAAAAACTATTACTATGTGGCATGTACCAATGTATGGGCTAACTACTAAAAAAAGAATCGTTTAATTAACTTTAATTCTTATCGAGAAATTTTAAAAAATGTTATCCTGGACACGATTTTTTACCAAAATCACAAAAAATCAAATAACTCCAAAACTAATAACTTTTGGATAAGGCAATATGGGGTTCAAACGACTCAAAATAATCTGTAGAATCACATCCTTAAGGTATATAAAATTGTTTATAATTTTATATAATTATGGGTTTATTTTTAAATGTAAATGTTATGGTGTGCCTATGGGTAGTTTCCTATACATTTTCTATCGGGCCGTATCCGGAAAAAACCATGGACAAATGCACATATTGAATCCGGTAGCGCCCGATAGATTATTTTGTATAGGTCTCTATGGGGTATTTTAAGCAGGGCTCAGCTGCAACTGTCCCCTCCTTAAAATACCCCATAGAGACCTATACAAAATAATGTATGGGGCGCTACCGGATTCAATATGTGCATTTGTCCATGGTTTTTTCCGGATACGGCCCGATAGAAAATGTATAGGAAATTACCTATAGGCACACCATAACTTTTACATTTTCCCTATTGAGACCGATAGCAAATAACTCAATGAAGGATATATAGGGATATCCCTATAGAGCAACCATAAAACATTTGACATAATTTAATTAAAACCTATGGGGTCCTATAGGGGAAAAAGTAATTTCTACATTTATGTGTATTTTCCCCATTGAAACCGATAGCAAATAACTCAATGAAGGATATATATGGATATCCCTATAGAGAAACCATAAAACATTTGACATAATTTAATTAAAACCTATGGGGTCCTATAGGGGAAAAAGTAATTTCTACATTTATGTGTATTTTCCCCATTGAAAACGATAGCAAATAAATCAAGGGTGGATATCCCTATAGAACAACCATAAATCTCAACTATGGGTCCTATACAAACTAGGGATTGCATTACCGGTTACCGATTTACCGGTTTACCGATTTACCGCCTTAAAAGTTCTTTAAATTACCGACGAAGAAATCTACATCTTTTACCGGTAATTTCGGTAAAAACTCTTCCACTTAGAAGACAGCAGATTGCGCCTAACAGTGTTCATCAATGTGTGAAAACAGAAATGCAATATTTTCGGAAGGAGGGAATTCAGGGGAAATACTTAAAAATGGCTTTCGCAGCACTCATGACAACTCGGACTACTAGTGTCCGAAAGAGCCTTTTCTGCGGCAGGAACAATTTGTACTA